TTTTTGGTTGTCACACCAAGGGCGGGGATAGACCTGGTAAAGCTACTAGCATCTAGTGGGTAGAGGCCAAGGATGCTGCTTAAATATCCTACAATGCAAAAGAGAGCCACAAACAAAATGAACTATCTGCCCAAAATATCAATAGTTCTAAGGTTAAGAAACCTTGGTCTTTTGTCATTAAGTGCTACAATAGGTTCTGACTCATAGGGACCCCTGTATAGGGTTTCCAAGGAGCAGCTAGTGGGTCAGCAGTTTACTGCTTATCCGATAGCACCACAGGTGTCGCAGAAATCAAGAAATCTCCTAAAAAAAAGATTTACAAATAGTTCTATATGAAATAAACTAGATCAATATATTAAATTTGCAAAATTTTAAGTGATACATAAAATCATTTAACTGCTGGAGGCAAACCATATACAATAGCAATTTGTTTATGCAATAGATTAACTAGCACTCCCCCTGACAGTCCTTAAAGAAGCTCTGGTAGGGTAGTGGTTAGGAGTCAGGCTGCTAACCTCAAGGTCAGCAGTTTGAAACTACCAGCTGTTCAGCGGGAAAAAGATGAGGCTTCCTGCTCCAGTAAAGATTTACAGCCTTGGAAACCCTGTGTAGGGTCACTATGAGTTGGACCGACTCCCCAGCACACCACCAACATGAAAGTCCTTGAAAACTTTACCTGTGTACAGATACAATATATGAAAAATAAGGGTACCATATGTGGGCCAATGCATCAGACAGCAAAGTCGCTTGAACTGCAAGGTCAGTGGTTCAAGCTCACCAGCTGCTCCTTGGAAACCCCATACAGGGTCACTATGGGTCGGAATCGACTTGATGGCACTTAACAACAACACAGTATAACAACAAAGTGTAAGGACAACTTTTACTTCACTGCCTTCAAATTTTTCAAAGTTTTGCATAATGATATACAAATAAATCATATTAAGCTAACACAATAAGTAACATTATTTTATTATCAGGTTGTATTTACATCCTTCAACCAATAATATAAACCAGGTTCCAATTATTTTTAAATAATTAAAAGCATGCCTATCACTGGCAGGTCATGACAGTGTGGAAAGAGACCAGCACTCAAATCTCAATACTATTATGTTTGCAAACAAATAATTTAACTTAATTAACCTCTCTGAATCTTAGTTTTCTCATCTAAGAAATCTGTCGTTGTTAAGTGCCACTGAGTCTGTTCTGACTCACAGCAACCCTGTATAGGGTGTTTCTAAGGAATTGCTAGCAGGTTTGGGCTGACAACCTTGTGATTAGCAGTTCAGTGCTTGTACCACCACAATTCCATATCTAAGAAATATTGTTGTTATTATTAACTGACATTGAGTGGGTTTTGCCTCACAGCTACTCTGAATAGGGTTTTTGAGGAGTGGCTTTTGAGTTTGAACCACCGACCTTGCGGTTTAGTACTAATCCTAGAACGCCACACCAGGACTCCTACGTCATTAAGTGCCACTGTGTCGCTTCAGACTCAGAGCAACCCTGTACAGGGTTCCAAGGAACGGCTGGTGAGCTTGAACTGCCGACCGTGCAATTCAAACGACTTTGCAATCTGACGCATTTGCCCACAGTGCCACACCAGGACTCCT